ATCTGAAGATTCCTGCTCAGTTTGACAGTTTTTCACTGATAAAAAAAACTGTTGGCATGCTCCAGCATTGTAATATTTTAAAAACAAGCATGTTACCCAAGCATTCGAATTACATAAATGTGCAAAGAACCAACTTCTAGAATACGTTGTAATATAACCATCCAGCATAGCTTGTTTGAAATAAGAGCTATCATAATGCTATAAAAAGGTATGGAATATTTAATTTATTGCTAAACATTAGCATTGGCAACATTTAAAAAAAAGTAGATATTAATACCGGGTATGTACGAATTTAACATATCATCTGTATGCAGAGAAATACTAATGTGTTTTTTGCACTATCTGACAAAAAATATTACTGCTTTTCATTACAGGAATGGAGCTTTTTTGCTCTTTGAAGCTTCATGCAAAGATAATTTCCTCACAATTATGACATCACAAAGTTTTTCCGCTTTATTTCTCCACGAAACAGTTTTTCTACTCCTGCTTTTATCCATTTAAAGAATGTGCATGTTATCAATATCTGCTAGTAGTTAAGGTGATACGATGCTGAAAAATCAGTTTACTGATTCTACTAAATTATTGTGAACAAGGACTATTATTCATCAAAAATCGGTCTCATCGGTTTGTATTGAAACCATCTGTAAACAAATTAGCAGAAATAAAAAAAAAATCTCTTGTTGAATGTGTTACTGGTATTAATATTTAGAACCTATTAGTTCCAATGGAGGGGGGTTATTTCATCATCAAGATAAGTCAAGTCATCTTGAGCAGTGAATGAAAGCAAATTACCTAACTACAACTTGTTTAGTCTTGAACGTGCTGTGAAACAAATGTCACTAGATTCTGTTTAAAGAGCTGAAACTTGTTGATGTTTTGCTCAACCCACACAGAAACTCTTGGTATCTAAAAGTACCTGCGCCCACTCAGTATTAGAGTTTCTGTTTAACTTGATGTTTAAGGTGTGATGTGGGTGTTAAGTTATTGAAATGCTCTGTGCTCCCCGTCTGCCGTTTCCTGTCGTTCTTTAATGACCTCTGAATTCCTCTGTATTTCAGGTACGTGTCAGCCCTGACAACACCAGCCCGCCTGTCCCCGGTGGATTTCCATTACTCATTGCCCCCCCAGGTGCCTACCTTTCAGATAACATCTCCCAATGCCAGCCATGCCATGTCCCTCCCTCCTGCTGTCCACAACCCCTATCCTTTGGAGGATGACCAGCCTCTGCTGCGCCGCTACCAGGTGCCCCTACATGATGCCCAGTGCCAGGAGCCCTACCGGCAGCAGCGCCGCACCTACCTAAAGGACAGCAGGGGCAGCCTGCCCTCCAGCCCCTACCGGCTGGCTGAGGAAGAAGACTATGAGACCACCCAGGAGTACCTCTCCTCTCGGGAGCAACCAAAGACAAGTGGGTCCGGTGAAACTGGTAGCCGGCGCTGGAGGAGATCCAGACTGAACGGCCACGTGGCCCCGCGTGGATACGAGGCATCTCGAGACTACGGCTCTCGAAGCTGCCTAACAGAAAGCGAGTCAGAGGAGGATGGTGAGAACACTCCCTTCCTCAGTATGCAGAACATGAACGCCGAGCCCTCCACCATCTACAGGCCGGTGGACAGTCGGACTTCTCACTCATCAGGGTGGCACAGTGGGCGTGGCAACATGCATACAAGACTCACACAGCCACGCTCCAAACCGGACAGTACGCCCCATTAAAGCGTGTGATGAACCAACAAGAACCAATATCGTACAGACCTGCATCTATAAGAAATATTTTATTTTATATAACTGACAGATATTCTAAACAAATGAATATTTATTTTCATTTTAGCAAAAGTTGTCTACTAGTTAACAGCAAAGATTTTTTATAGGGAAAACTCTATTTATATGTACATTTTGATTTACAGCATAAAAAAGATGTGCCAGTTTTTTCACAACGTAAAAAAAAAAAAAAAAATAGAGTAATATTGTGGTGCCTTTTGCTGTTTGCCGAACCCAGAGGGGCCAGTGGAGGTTTTTGTAGCCTTTCTTATATGGACGCCTCATTTTTTATACACATTTATGTTTTTTGTTCTGTCAGATTTTTTTTCCTCTTGTCTCACTTTCTTTCCAAAAAAAAAGGCATTCTTTAAGAAGTCTGTCCCCACTGCAGCATAAATCCCTTTCCATGTCACGCAATATAAACCACTTCAACATAAAGTGTCTGTTTACATTAATATAATTCGTCCAGTAGGGGTGGTGTTTGGGATGTAACAGAACTCCTCATAAATATAACGTAGAATATTTCTACCCTCTGACTGATGCGTCCTCTTGAGAGATGAGGAAAGAAGAGAGTTGTGTTTGAGTTGAGTATGGGTACAGATTGTTATGTGTGGATGTGCGTGTGTGTGCAAAACTTCTCTGGAAACAGGGGAGCTACCCCACAGCACTCTCTCTCCTCTTGTGTAGGTGGACAGGTAAGGCTGGGTTCTGCCACGCAGGTCATTGCCTAATGATGTGTTTACAACTATGTGGCCCCAGGCTCACCCCTATTCTGTCCTATTATAATTTCCTTGTGGCTTTTTTCTTCACGTTAGCCTTGTACAAGGCTATCAAGCACTTAGCTGTTGGGCACAGATGGGGGATACCTATATTGGAGACCAAAACAAAAGATATCATCTGTTTCCACTCAAAGCCACTTCTCCTCTCACATCTCATTATCATTCTGTTTCCATTCTGTTTTTCGTGGCTCATGTTAAAGGTCACACAGTGTCTCAGGATTTCCACATATCCCCCCTTCACCCTGCACCCACTTCCACCTCTCGTCATCCCACTTTCTTGAATAAGGTCTACCTTATAGACGACGGTTCTTGGAAGGTGAGGACCTGGAGGTAACCACACAGTCTACCGGTTCCCTGAACACTCCCCCGCAAAGAAAAGGAAAGCCAGGTGGAGCTCTTTTGGAGGAGCGTAAAGACAATGTAGAGAAATAGCTGTGAAAACTACGGAGGATCATACGATGCAAAAATATGCAAACTTTATATTTTGCTGTTTGATTACATCATTTTCTAAGAGGTGACTGTAGTTTGCTGTGTGTGCAAAAAAAACTCTGTAATGCCTGTAGTGTAGAATGAGACAAATGGGTACCTATCTGAGTTTTTTCTTTTTAAAGCCATTATGCAGAGATCTACCCTTTTGTGAAGTCCTTCACTTGCCCATAGGATGTCTGTGTGTGGGACACAGGTTTGTTTTGACCACTTCACCTTTACAAAAATTCTTCCAAATACCATCTTCTACATTAGTACTATGTACTACTAAATCTATTAGACTTATTATCTCCCTAATTAAGTCCGTAAGATGACTATTTATTGAGCAACATCATCCTCATTTAAAGTAGAGATGCGCCAAGAAACTGAGACACTCTAACTTTGTCTGGTCGCTAGGTAGTCAGAACTTCAGTAATCATTTCTTTTTTCCATCGTTCAATGATCCATTCATCAGCGATATCAGGCTGATTAACAGCAACAAGTTTTGGTTTGCATCGCTGTTCAAGAAGCAAACTGACTCATAAAATTAAGTAAGCAATAACGCACAAACCTGAGCTTTAAAAGAAATCCGACCCATTTCTAAGAACCAAAGGATGTCTTAGGTGGATTAAAGTGGAGTCAAAATAAAGCTTAAATTTCATGGATTTCTTTCATGAAAATGGTAATCATGTCCATAATGCATGACATCTTTTCAGTTTTATTTTATTTTCAGGATTTACCTCTGGCTAAAATGCAGTCATCTGTCTCAGCCCTGTTCAGGGTAACCCAGACGATGTGTATTTTTATGGCATAATGAACAATTGTCCAGTTACGTTGGCACACATAGCATTGGTATATCTACACATGGCTGATTACAACCCTCACTACCTGGTGCATTCGCCCAGGACAAAGATGTGATAAATAACTCTTAAAATCCTATCTTGAAATGTTTTCTGAAAGGTGGTAGAGTTAAAAAATGTTAATCATCAGTTAGAAGATATGAAAAGCAAGGAGCCAATAGATGTGAAAATATAATATTAAACAGCTCCCTACTTCCTTTTTTTTTTACATAAAGGTGCAGCCAGCTACAGGACTTCAGTTTGCACAGGGTACTTTGAGGTATTTTGCGTTGCCAAAATAGGGATTTTATTACATTTAGCTCACATACACAGTCCTCTGTTAATGAACCTAAAGATAAATCTTTCTGATTTCCCAGTGTTACTTCCTATGGAGACTCAGACATGTAGGCTCATATTGATCTTGCTCTTGTCAGAGAGCAAAACGTCATTCATTAGCTCACCTCTGACCCAGTGTAGGAGTATTTGCACCCAATTGCATCTAAACATAATATCTGGAATGTTGTTCATTTTAATCTTCCAAGTAGATCTATAAAGAGCAACGCCTTTGATGGCAGCAAGGCCCCGGACACCATGTCCCGCCGGACAGGCTGTATCAAAACTAAAATGTCACCCTAACACAATATTAACCCAGTTTTAAGAAAAGTATATAAATAAATACAATCTGTTTTCTATGGCTCATTTAGTTTTTTACCATTTTCAGTAGACTTTAAAATTGTTTCCTCTTTAATTATTCGACAAGAGTTAATAAAAAAAACTACAAATTTCAAATTGGTGCATCTTTACTTTAAAGGGATGTGATAGAAAACAACAGTTAATAATCTTAAAACATACTTAGTCTGCTCCTTTTAATCAGTTTTAAAAGAACAACTGAGTGCAAAATGTTCCAACAGGATTGATCTGCAAATTATGATAAATGCACAGAGGTTTTGTTGTAGAGAACAATTTGACCACGTCTTTTTCACAGCTTCCAGATATTTCATCAGGTTTTCCACTGGTTTTCCACTTCTGGGTCTTATTTTGTATGTCTGAATGGGGTGAGAGATGATTCCACACCTCTAGATTAAATGTGTTAACCCCCCTCTCCCCTCCCTTTCCAACTGATATGGTACCAGGCATGTCCTGCCAGTCTCCTCTTTTTTTTATTTGATTAATCCCCCCACAAATCTGACCCCACCCCTCGCTTGAAATGTTTGAACACCTCTCCTCTGCATGTCCTTGTGGTCAAGGTTAGATGGGTGCATGGATACTTAAAAAAAATAAGGAAGAAAAAAATTAAGCAGCAGTCAATTATTTTCAAGTCAGTGAAAGTGTATTTCATTTAACATTCAGCAATAAAAACAATTCTTACTTCCCTCTCATGTCATTCCTAAAATATGTTAGAAAAAATAAGCAGGTAAAAAATGCGAGACTGTCATAGATTGTAAAATAAAATGAAAAATAAATCCACCTGTTCATATGGGAAATAAATCTTTATTCATATCGTTTTATGTTGCAGTTATTTCTGGAGAACATTTTTCTTTCCTTTTGGATTTCGGCCCGAAGAGTGAACTCTCTTCTGGCATGTTGTTGCTCCTCTCAGGAGTGAACCCATAAACTCTCAAGGTGAAAGGAAATGTGTTTAATATGGTGTTTGGGGGTTTATAAATTATAGCAAAAAGGATATTGCCTATAATACTGAAAAGAAAGAGCCAAATACTGTCAATTTTTGTTAAAAAGTTAAAGAATGTTTCCTCGGGCGGTTTAATAAAGCATAAACACATAAATTTACCTTATAAATAGTTAATAAAAACAATCCTCATTCCTGGAGTGATTAGGGGAAAAAAATAATGTAGGCTATAATTCTCCTACCTAACTAAGCACAATTAATCTCTCTAGCCTATCTTACAGTATGCAGACTGTACTGGTTTTTAATGTACTACCATAGTTTTTCCACTAGATGGAGACAAAACAAAGAAGGAAAAGCAGATTCGTGCCAAGGATTAAATTATTTTTCATATTTAAAACTTATGCATGGTAAAGTTCTGCATTGATGCTTATTTATTTTGGATTATCATTATATTTCTCTCTTTTTACAAATAGCCATTGTTGATTCAATTCAAGATATAAGTGAAATGCAAATAATCAATTTAGAGATATGCCTCGACTTGATGGCATAAATCACTCATTTAAAATTATTTCCAAAGTTTATATCATCATGCTTACAGCTGTAATTAAAGTGAAAGAGTAAAAAGGGGAAATATATCCAAGCAAGCCTAAAAAAAAACAAAAAAAAACCAAGCATATTTTTATGTTACAATATGAGATGTGATTGAAATTCAGACGATCTATTATAAACATGTAGGCAACCATCCATAAAAAAACACATGAAACAACAAACCAGAAACATATGATGTCACTGTCACAGAATAATAAAGGAAATACAAAAAAATATATATAAAAGCTATTTAAACCACACTTCCAAAAAAAGTGAAGGGTCAAGTCATGTGACCAACACAAAATAGAGCATTATAATGAAGCAAGGGAAATAATATATGGTTAGAAAATGAATTCTATTTATTTTTATCAGTTAAGTTTTACAAAATATTGCTTTACCAACTTCCTACAGATGTATACAGTAAAACAACTATATTTGTATTACGCAATTGGACAAAATAACCCTGCAATGGTGAAAGAAATAACGTCCATTGGACAAAAGTCATAATAAAAAGTATGCTAGAATTCAAAGAAATTAAACAAATAAAAGTCAGACTTTGATTTTCAACCATGCTTCAGCAGAATGATTAAAAAAATAAACTTGTGAAACAGTACTGGACAAAAATAAAGGGAACCCTAGAAGAGTCTAAAAATACTGTTTCTAAAGAGACAAGCTGTGTCCAATCAAGTGGCATCACAGGTGTCTACAATAGGACTAAAGTTAGTTGTGCTGTTCTGTGACGTGGTGTGTACCCAACTCAACATGGACCAGAGGAAGCCAAAGAAAGAGCTGTCTCAGGAGATTAGACAGAAAATCACAGGCAAGTATGTTAAAGGTAAAGGCTATTAGACCATGTCCATGCAGCTTGATGTTCCTGTGACCCGTTGGACTGATTATTCAGATCCATGGGAATTAACCAACATCCCTGGATGTGGCCAAATGTGTGGAATTAATGACAAATAAAGGAGATGAATAATATAAATGGTAACAAAAGAGCCCATAAAGACCTCTAAACAGATTAAAGGTTAACTTCAAGCTCAAGGATCATTGCACCGTCCATTTTTGTATGAGCCAAACTGGACTTAATGGGAGACGACAAAGGACAGAATTGTTGTACTGTAGACAAGTCACAAAACAGCCAGACAGAGAACCGTCAAACTGCATGTTGACAAAACACAATGCCTCTGATAGAATATCCTGTGGAGAGATGAGACGAAAATTGAACTTTATGCCAAGGTGCACTAGTTATCTGTTCACAGATGGAAAAAATGAAGTATGTCAAGGGAAGAACACTGTCCCCAGTGTGAAATATGAAGGAGGTTCTGTTATGATCTGGGGCTCCTTTTATTCATCTGGAGCAGGGTTTCTTTTATCTCTGCAGGGTACAATAAAATCTCAAGACAATGAAAGGAATTTAGAGTGAAATATCCAGTGTCAGAAGGCATTGAGTCAGTCCTTGGTCATGGGTCTTCAAAAGGATAATGACCCCAAACACAGAGCTAAAAAAAGGCAAGAACTGCTAGTCTTTTTTTAAATCTTTTTTTTGTTTTGTTAAATATGGTTAAAAAGCAATGTCTGACTTTAATTTGTTAATTTTCTTTGAATGTTTCTTTATTGGTGTTATTTTGGTTCACTACCTGTCATTTAAATCCCCCATCAAAGAGGTTTCTAGAAATATCCTTCTTTTATCTATAAATATCGCAAAAATTAGAAATATCTGCTGAGAAACTAGTCCATACATTTCTTACTTTAAGGCTGGGCTATTGCAATTCTTTACTATCAGAAAGTCCAAAGACTGTAGTTACAATTAAAGCCTTCAACGGATTCAAAATGGTGCAGCCAGAGTTCTTATAAAAAATAAAAACAGATCATACTGTATTTCTCCTATCTTATATTCCCTACAATTTAAGTATGGACAGACATTTCTCATTGGCTCTACTTTTCTTATACCTCTTTCAAAACAGTTAACTATCCTGAGCTATTGTTTGTTCTTGTGCTGCTATATGTTTAGGCTGCTGGATCAAATAGGGGCCACTTTTCCTCATTCTACTTCATTCTACGTATTCTCCTATTCTGCAGTATTTGTCAAGTTCCACTCAAAATATTACGCTCTCTCTGCTTGTTCCTCATCACAGTAGCTTCATCTGGTCTGCCCTGTCCGGCTGTGACTCAAACCTGGATTGAAATATTAGCTGTGCTACTGCCATCAACATCTAGAGATGTTGGAGACTGGCCTTTTTCCATTGCAGTCCAGTTTCTTTTACTGAGAGTAGGAGATTTGGCTTGAAGCTCCTCTGAATGGCGGTGTGTTGCCAGGACGGGGCTGCCTGTAGAGCTGGTTGACAGTTGCCTTTTGTATCTGCTTCTTTCTGTATGTCAGCTTCTGTCTCCTTGAACCCAAGTTGACCTCACCAGATCACTACTCACACTGATCCTGGTTCTGCTGACAGATTCTACCTGTTAAAAGGGAGTTCTCCTCTCCATTATTGCTACATGCATGCTGGGTGTAAGGGATTGCTGAAGAGTCAATGACAAAATGCAAGCAAAAATCGTCACTGCAAGCTCCTTCAGGAGAAGCATGTCTTGCAAGTCAATGACTGGATGCAATTAACTAGTCTCTGTAAAGTGCCTTAAGATCACTTATATTATGAATTGGCACCATATAGATAAACGGAACTGAACTGAATTAAAACTTTGATCAGATTCAATTTATTTCTGTGACCATCTTGGGTTGTTATTTCTTTAAACAAGGGGTACCAAAAATTATGTCCATGGGTGTAGATTAAGATTACAACAAATAACACGTTAAGAATAACATTAAAAACAAGGGGTTTCAGTAGACATTCAAGGGAAAAGTGACAGACAGGGATTGGTAATAAAATACAATATCTTGCTATTTGAATATCTTAAAAGGACATGGCAAACTGGAAAGAGTAGAGGACCAATTAAGCAAGACAGGCAGGGGTCACAAGAGTCCCATAAGTTAAGGGACCTGTAAAAAAAAACAGACAGGAGGAAAGATCTGCTGATAGGAGTATTACTGGTTATGCACCTTATTTTGAATGTACTTAATAACCCTTTATGGAAATTTGCCTCTCAGAGCCTACACCTATGTACTGTAGCGATCGACCATCACCAGTACAACTACAACTAATTACAACACCAAAAGTCCAGGTTTCAGAATGATATATATATATACTGTATATATATATATATATATATATATATATATATATATATATATATATATATATATATATATATATAAATCCAGGAACTTAGCTTACATGTGTGGTCAAAAGCAAATTGCACAATAGGCCTGTCATGTGACTTACCCCATGCATCACTGACTGCACATACAAAAATGCCATACAAAAGAAACTTAGAATGTAGCGCTAAGAAGTAATAAAGAGATGTTTATCTTTTAAATGTCCTTAAAAGAGAATTCCACATATTTTTCTAGGACTTTAATTCTTTTCACCACATTTATTGTGATTAAATAAATACTTTGTTTAGCACTAATATCAGATCCAAAGAACAATAAGACCAAACCCAGAAGGGGAATATGTGTTAATTTTAATGAAACGTTCAGGGTGATGTATTCCAAGTAATATACATTTATAAAAGCACCAATGAAAGTACAGTCATCATGTTTAAACTTGGAATAAATAATTCATTCTGAAGAGAAATGCAGGTTTTAAAACATGATTGCTAACAACAAGCCTGGAATTTATCCAGCTACTGTTTTACCAACATTTAAACTGCAAGTCTGATTTTCTGCTGCCTACAGATTATTTTGTTGACCTTTTTAAGGATAAAATTGCTTCTTTTTTCCAAGCTAAAAATAACACAAAAATATCTGTGAAAATCAAAAAATACAGTACAGGTGGGAACAAAGCAAACAGTACAAACTTTTCTTTTATTAAAGTTTCAGCACATTTTGTATAAGATTTGCATGCAGAGGAATTCAGGCAGCCTGTTTTAGGAGATCCAACTTAGTGTCCTGCAAGATGATTGCTTCCTTTGTTGACATTTGACCCTTGGAGATTTTTCCAGAACCCCTGAATTCAAAAAGGGGACACAAAACAAGAGTTAAATACACTGTGAGTTTACAGTATTTTTTAGGTCTCAACCATTTCTTGTTCTTGATTTTCAACTTTGTCACACCATGTTTTTGAATATGCAGAAGGCTTTAACTTACCTGTCCTCCACATCCTGTATTGTGTCAGGCAGCTGTGTGCCCAGAGTTTCTGGGAGAAAAATCGCAGCAACTCCTGAGAGAATCGGAGCTCCTCCATAAATTAAACCTGGTAGCCAAGGTATGTAGTCCCCTGTGAGCTGAACCATTGGGGCCACCATAGCTCCCACACGTGCCATCATGGACACCCAACCCATGCCACTTTGACTAAATGAGAAAAAAAGGTCATAATGTCTCGGTTAGAGCACAATCAAAAGTCTAATTGCAGAGCCAGTTAAGGAGTAAATCACTGCACTGCCCTGCCCTGTCAGATTTGTCGTTTCAGATAAATTTGACTGATCATGATTTTGTAAGCATTTAAAATATCTTTAACTGTAAGTTTGAAGGGCCTTACTTCCTAAATTACCAAGTAACTCTGAGGCAAGAGCTTCAACAAAGCTGGCTTTGCTTTACTTTCTGTTAACATGGATGATATATAGATAATGCCTCATGTTTTTGGGTTTTCACTCATCTGTTCATGGTTTTCATCCAGCGTCCTCATAAATTACTCCCCAAATTTCAAGGAGGGAGAATTAGGTTTTTTTATGATGACTGTGTCATAAATGAGTGAACAATAGCAGCGTGATGTCAGAAACTTTATATTCCAGAAAAACAGATACAGTATAAATCGCATTTGACACGTTGGCAGCCCTGAATAAGTAAATACTATAAAAAAGAGGCCTGCAGTTATTGGCTCTCATCATCGCCATCTGGTCGCTGAACCTGTTCGAACCTCTGAGTATTTTTTCCAGTGGTTGAAGGTCACCTGGAAATTTGCCCATATCAGCTGGAAACACACAGATCCTTTTTATTGTATTTGGGTTTTTCTTTTTCAGAAACCTTTACAAACTTGTTGAAAGGGTTCTTTATCAGACCCAACATCCTAGTAGCATATTTAACTTTTACAGTCAGCATAATTCATATAAAAATAACAAGAATCAGATGCATAATATTATAAATAGTGTCCTGTTTCTGTTTTGCTTGTTGTTATTTATAATAATAAAAATACTTTTTTGAATGTGTCCAGTCTAAAATTTTGAAAATCTTTATTTCTATGATCAAAGGGTGTAAAAAATTATACAAAAAATGTATTCTAATTTAAGAAATTTTCACAATTTACATTTGACTACTGGGGAGTGGCAGCCCTGATCTTCAAAGCAGAGCATTGATGTCCAGAGAGGCCACAAGATTTCAGTTCAAACTTAAAGACTGGGTCTCTAAATAAGCCCCGTTACCCACAAAAAGATTGAAGAGCTGCAATCTGTTGTCTGTGTCAAATATAGAGGATTTATTTTGTGAGTCAAGGTTATTATCATCATTGTTGTTTTATATAATATATTTAATGCTCCTGAGCTACACTACAAGCTTTGAAAAGCTCTCAGTATACTGCCTTTTAATTTGTTAAATAACAATTGCAACCTTTATTGTTCTCTTTTAGTCCAACACAAAGCAGCAGCAAAACTGCTAATCGTGAAGCAGAAGAAAAATCAATAGTTTTTCCTTTTTTTCTTATAAAAAGATTAAAAGTTACCCCCTTCTTCTGATTGCATGATGCCAATCAGAAGAAGGGGTATAACTTTTAATCTATCTACTGATTGGATGTTGCCAAAGTTCTCAACAATAATATTGCACATCACCATGGGCAAACCACCCACTGGAAAACAATGCCACATCACCCTATAAATATCTTTTCATACAGCTGGGGCAATGACACCTGACAAAGGTTTCAAAAATTGGATAATGGAACAAAGGTTAATCCTGCAACAGGAAAATAAGCCCCAAATATTGGGCAAAATGGATTAGATTAAATCAAATAACACTAATGTTTTAGGCTGACCCAGTCAAAGCCCAGAGCTAAACCAAATAGAGAATTTATAGCAAGAACATTTTTGTTTTATTTTTCTCAAACTCTTTAACATCATGTATCAGTTTTCTTTCTCTTCAGAATAGCTGTCCTGGCCAGTCAGAAAATTACGAAATTCACTGAGGGCTGTGGTCATGTGATAAAATCTGAAAGAGTTCAAGGTGTAAGAGCACTATTTCAAAGAGTACTATTTCAAAGCCTATTTGTCACTTATTTAACACAACCCTTTACTGATTAGTCTCCTGACCTTGGTAATACTGTTAATCTATAATCCTAAATCTTCTAAAATGTATGAGCTCCTGGGTCACTTAACCCCCGTGCCTATAAACAAACACAGATGAAAACAGTAAAATCATTTTTTTCTGGTCATTTCATAAACCTACTTGACTTCGAAACACATGATGCAAGCAACATTAGCCATTAGACAGACCTGAGTTTAGGGACCTTTGGCAAGTACCCAGTGGTCAGTTTCTTCCTTTAGGGACTAGATCGGGTCAGTCCCAAAGGAGTAATGCAAGGCAATTCACCAGACAGAACATCCCCAGCAGCTGGAACCATGAGGGTCCAGTGCAAATACGCTTGGGCAGCAGTCAGAGGGGAAGGCCCCGGCGACCTGGTCCAATGAGGCTTAAACTGACTCTGAGGATGTGGAATCTCACATCAATGGGGCAAAGCTTTCAGAGGGGTATCCATCAGTGCACTTGGCACCAGGATACCCTAGAACAGACACTATCAACTTTGTGACCAGATACTCTGACCTTCTGCTGCATGTTCAGTCGAGCTGTCCTCCAGTCACCACCTGTTAAGGGCTGGTTATACTCCCCATAGCAGTGTGTCGCAGTGAGTTTGACGCAGACATTTTTGATTTATGCTCAATTTTGAAGCGTGGTCTGCGCTCTGTTATTCCACGCCACGACGCAAAAGAATCATGAACTAGCTGTGGGTCTAGATACACCCAAGGTGGTGAGGGAGTGTGTGCAAGTTTGTCCGACAATGGAGGGACATGAGGGTGAAAAAGAGTGAGGATCCAGGTGGGAAAGGGTCCCAGTGTTCTTGCGCACTTAGCTCTTCTAGCTGGTCCAACTTCACGTGTTGTTTTGAGCAATTGCTGTCATACAAACAAAACAAGACGGCCTCCTGTCTGCGGCATTGTCTGCGGGTACCTACAATTTGGGAGAGGTGCAGCAGAGTGTCTGCGGAGGGGGCGGGGACATCTTTGCATTCACTGCCACACCTACGCAGGCAACCTAGTTTAAGTATAAATCAGCCTTTAGAGAGTTGGATACCCAGTCAGGGTCTGCTCGAGTCCCGCAGGTGGGATTCGAGCAAGTTCTAAGGGACGCTGGCTGAGGTCATAGAGTCAAAGTGGACCATGTCCTCTGCCTCCATTGTTGCGGAGGTCATAGCTGAGGCTGTAAGGTCTGTGGTGTCTGTCAAGGCTGCAACCCTCAAATCCAGTGGTGGACACCAACACTAAGGGATGCCATCAAGCTAGGAAGGGAGTCCAGTTGAGCCTGGTTGCCTTAAAGGACTCCTGAGGCAGCAGACTGGTTCTGTGAGGCCAAGCATGCCACTGCCTAGGTGTTTGCAGAAGCAAATCTCTGGCCTGAGAGGTGTTCGAAGAGACCATGGAAAGAGACTAACCATTTGTCTCAAAGTGATTCAGACAAATGGTCCAGCACCTCCAGGATGGGAAGCATTCTTTCCCTAAAACTGTTTACTGTGATGGTGATGGGATGCTGACCTCGACCGAGGATATTGTTGGACAGTGGAAAGAATAATTTGAAAAGTATATTCATTTTTTTTTAGGGTATTATGTTTGCTTTGCATTCACAATTTACTTTCCTCTCAACAAAACATATCACAAGTTCTGAGGAATACAGAAAACAGAAATACATAGACCTCTGATAGATCAGTGCTGATTGTTATCATTGAGACAGACTCAGTGAACTGAGTGCCCTGTCACACTTTGCCAGATATTTCGTACACCAGTCATATGCTAGCTAAATTGTCAAGGTGTGACAGTGGCTTTTGTTTCTGTTGTCCTGCAATAAAACTCACCGGATGATAGTTGGGTAAAGTTCTCCAGAATAAAGGTAGCAGCAGTTGAAGGATGCAGCCAGACAGCCTTTGCCCAGTACTGCCAAACATGTGCGCACAGTCTGTTTGTCTAAACAAAAGAGAGGATTTTAAATAGTATGTCTTTGTTAATTGAGCATGTTGAGAACAAAATGTATTTCATTCAAACAGCATGTTGCGATCTCCACCATATTTTCAAATGAAGCCAGTCTACTAAGGCTTGAGTGGGGATATGGTTCTCTGACATGTACTTTATTCTATGGTCTTCACTGGGGTCTTTGTTAACATTTTTTTAACAAGCTCCTTTCCAGACATCTGCAGTTGTAAAATAATACACCAATGGATTCTATTTACTAGTTTGGTGAGTTAAAAATAGGAGGTGGCTCTTGTTTTATGGTGTCAGAATACAAGGGACTGAAAAGATTATGTAGAAGTTGTGCACCATTTCAGTTAGTAATAGTTTGTGATTTTTTTGTTGGTCTATCATTTAAGATCCTAACAAATCCTTTGCTGCTTCTATCCTAATAAAATCAATTTAAGGCCTTCACTAAAGCACATTATTACTCCAGCATAAGGAATGTGTTCGGCACTTACCATATGGCACCAGTATGTTGATCAGAATGGTGATTCCAGCGATGATGAGGGCACCACTTTGTGATGGCCGCCGTCCAATAAAACTCATACACACGGTAATGACAACTTTAGCAGGGATGTCTACGGCTCCAAAGATTACTTGTATCAAGTAAATGTTCACCCCAAATTTCTGGAGGTCCATAGCAAGGCCATAGTAAGCAAAGCTGGTTGATAACCTTAAGAAAAGATACATGTTTAGGTAAAGATGAGTGTTACTTGTTGTTTTTTGTAGAAAAAGCAGGATGTTTACCAAGTAGCGCTGAGGCAGAGAGTCATTATGCGCATTTTGGGAGTGCGGAACAGATCAAGGGAAGAGTAGGTCCCCTGGGAGCATGACATTTCTTTTTTCATAGACTCCTGCAGCATCTGAACACAAAGTAGATGCACTTACAACTTTTATGAATAATTAAAAAATAATAATAATAAAAAAATAGATAAGACCTTTGCCTTACTTTTACATCAATCTTTTCTCCTTCCTCATGTCGTCCATTAAATCTGGCTACACTTTTAAGAGTCTTGACAGCCTGTTCTTGCTTATTGTTTATTGCTAACCATCTTGAGGATTCATGAAACCACCTGAAAATATACACTTTTTATTTTATTTTATGATTTTGCAGTTGTTATGGGAGACCCTCCCAAATTATAATCAGGAATTCCAGTCATATCTGTGCAACTGGTATCTCACCATGATATAAGGAAGAAGACATAGAAGGGTAACGACACTGCCAGAGTTAACCACCTCCAGTCCGTGATGAAGTAGGCAATGGCCGCCAGGATCAATTGCCCCAATGTGTAACAGTACCCTGTTGCTGTCCCTGTGAAGGTTCGCACGCGGGTTGGGATCCACTCCACAACTTTACATAAAAAAAGAAATTGAAGAGGAAAAAACATTTAAGTTCTACACGGAAACCCAGGAAAAGGTCACATGAATTTCTAACTGATAATCAGGCAGACAGACAGACAGATAGATAGACAGATAATTTAATCTTAGTTCTATGATAACGAACGAAAAGTGACATGCAAAATAAAGTCAAAAACATCAATAATATAATAATAATAAAAAAAGTGATATTTTTTTCATTTTACTGTGTGTCTCCAAACGTTGGCTTAATTTTTGTTTTTAAAATCACACAAAGCTCATTATTTATTTGGTATCCCTTGAACATTTTTGTTTAGTTCAGTTCAATTTGATTTTCTTTACATAATGATATTTCCAACTCTTTCTCATGTCATTCTGCTCTCCCTCCACAGTCACCTGTGCGTCTGGTGAGATGTAGTTTACAGTATAAATTATCCCTTTGACAAACAAGTTGTTTATCTCTTTGTGTTTTGACTGAATGCTTATTTACTGAGTGAGAAGGTGTTGAGTCCCAGGCCGGACAAAGCCATGCCACAGCCGAACCGGAAAAGACAGTAGAGGGGGAAGGAGGGGGAGAAAGCAACACATGTTCCTGAGACGGCCATGAGCAGGTTAGAGATCATCAGGAGGATGCGACGGCCATATCTAGGAGAGAAGAGGGATGTTTAGAAATGAAAGGAAAAGCCGGATTTATTTATCAATTCTGAACAGTTTTGCAATTAACAGTTGAAGCAATACAGATAGAAACACTGGTGAACTTTAAATGTCACCTGTCTGAAAGGCCTCCAAAGACAAGAGCCCCAACAAGCACTCCTCCCATATAAACAGTTTGTCCCATTTGTTTTAATGAACGCAGGTCACACACTAAGTGCCACTGAAGAAAGGAACACATGAAAACACAAACATGTATATGTATTGTAAAATCATATCTAGCCTGATGGAAAACCATTTGATCAAATTAATGTCTGTAAAATACAGCCCTACTTCAGATATGATAGTGGAGCTCATCTCTGTCATGTTATAGGACCATCCATCCTCACATCCTTGCAGGACTACTTCACAGTCCTTCTCTGGAGAGGAAGTCCCATTTTTATCCAGGAGGTGCCACTGTGGAGCAACATATCGTTGGCACTGCTGAGGTTTCCCTGCCTCGTTCAGTGGTACTGTGATCATCAGAATCTCAGCTGGGCTCAGCGAGGATTGAGACAAGTTGGAGTGTGCTCTGCAGTAATGAGGGGGTACCATGGCCACAAAGTTTTGCAGCAGATTGTGACTGGCCATGAACAGGACAGGAATGCAGAGGAGGGTGACATGCAGGATCTGGAAGCGACCCGTGCTGCCCACCTGCTCCAGGAGGTCTGCAAAGGCCATCCTTCTGCACAACCACAACAAAACAATGTGACTTAATATTAAAACTTGGCTTCTTCTTTTTCAATGTATTTTGATTTATAAAAGAGAAGCCTTTTGTAACCATCTGTGAAATTAACAGAGACATTTTAACCAACCATTTGGTGATAAGATGATAAAAAAATAGGAAAAACATACCTGCTGAATTATGCTCTTTAGAAATGATTTTAAAAATGTTGCTTTTAATTTTGTAAACACAGTTCCATCCGAAATCCCACAAAAAGTCCTTTAAAACGTGAAAAAAAGCACCACATAAAAAAACATAGTTTTGTCACTGTTCCTCATTTAAATCCGTAATCAGCTTTCAAATTCCTCCACTTCTTCTCAACCTCAGGAATTAGCAGCTTTTTCTTTCGGCACTGAGGTAAGTAGGGTGCTTGCTGTGCAGATCTTGCTAAATGATCAGAAAGAAGTCCAGCATCAGGAGTGTGGACCTTACCAACCTCAGCCTTTTCCCCTCTTTGCTCTGAGAAACACTCCCTGCCCTTTAGTGGTTACTTAACATGAACGACAGTGTGTATATCCATGTGTGTGGGAGAGAAAAAGTGGCAGATACACATGTGCATACGCATGAGGTCAACCAAGGGATGTTTCTGTTATTGTTGCTGTTTCTGATTAGATCACCAACAGGTTAGCATGGTTAAAGTTAAACAAGAGGAAAGTGAGTGAACAATGAGTTAGTGATTGGATTCAGTTACAAAAGATACAGATCAATATTCAACTATTTAAATGCCCTTTAACACCAAAACATTTTCTCCTCCTCTCTGGCACCTTGTGTTATTTCAGCGGTTTAGTGATTATACTTTGTGAAAATGAGAGAAATTGAGGAAAAAGTCAGAATCAGATCCACATATTTTGTTTTTAAGATAAAAAATAATAGGTTAGATCTTAATTTTACTTAAATAGAAGCTTCTTACGCTCTGATAGTTTCCTACTGATTAGTTCTGAGGAATGTTTTCTCTTATGTAAGGATCAGCATGAGATGCCGGGGCGAATGAGGCTGCAGGTGCACCGAGGCTAAACAAAAAAAGTCTTTTTCAGAGTTTTTTCAGCTGTTAGAATTAGAACAGATTGGAGCTGCTACAAAATTCCTTCTTTGGAATACTTTTTAAATAATATATAAAAAAATTGGCAGGACAGTAAAATGATGTAGTATACCCTTTTGTAAAGGAGCTGTTTCCGATTTAGAGTCATAAACAGTAATCCATTTTATTGGGATTGGTTATGACAGGGTCACACAGAGTGTAACATATGTAATGTGGATAAGAAGAAAATATATATATACATTATTTCCATAGTTTGTTTTTTTTAAAATAAAGAAAAATCTGAAAACAGTTCTTTGTATCCAGCCCCTTCTCTCAAATACCCCTAAATGAAATGAGGACTTACTGTAACACTTTGAGTAAGTCTAAGTAAGTCTCAGTATAAACGCTGACATGCTACTACCATAACATTCTCTGCAGCAGTGACACGGGGGTCTAATCGGTGTTAATGGGTTAAGATTAGTGTTGCACCGATACCAGTATCGGAAGGGGCCCCGATCCAGCACTAAAATGATGGTATTGGTATTGGCAAATACCAACAAATAGGGCACCGATTCGATACCATAAAAAGTTCTACTGGATTCACTTTGAATTAGTCTTTTTTCCTGCTTTATAAAGATAGGCAGCAGCTTGACAAAGCCATGATGGCAATTATTTTACATCCAAGTTGTATGAAGGTTCATCATATATACACAAACACACATCAGTTTCAAACAGATATCGGTATGGTATCGGTATCAGCCAATACTGCACAGCCAGGTATCAGGTATCGTTATAGGGGGCCAAAAAATGGCATTGGCACACAACACCAATTAAGATGGAGTTGAATAAAGAGAAAAGGTTTTCAACTTTAATGACAGAAAAGAGTGTTAAAATGTAAAGGAATAAAGGGGATCAAATCTTTCAATAATTAGGGAAATTATAAGAGAATAGATTTGTGAAATCCATGGAAATATTAATAAAATGCTGTCCAGGTTTCTCTCTTTTCATTTCCTATATTCTCATACAGTACCACCAGAAACAAACAGAAAACAAGCAAAAAAAAATGTTTTTAAATATATTAATATCGTATTCTAATTTCTAGTTTCTTTATTGATAAATAGAGAATGAAGAGCTAAAGATAAATAAACAATGATTTACAAAGCAGAACCATCCTTACAGGAAACCCAAGAAGATTTTAGGCAGAGTTAATGTTTTACACAGTTTGGCAGGTGTTACAGTTTTCTGTCTTCAAGGTTGAATGTTAAACCTGGCAGAACATGAAGATGTTACTTTCTGCTCTTCTGAAACTGTCGTCAAAATCAGAATCAATATTTATTATCAAGTACATATACTGTACACTATCTGTATAGGCGAGGGGCGGCCTAGTGGTTGGGACATAGAGCTTGCAGTCCTGACGTTCTGAGTTTGAGCCCCACTCCCACAGACTGCCACTCTGAGTCCCTGAGCAAGATCCCACACTGCTCCCTGGGCGCTGCACAATGGCAGCCCACTCCTCCCCAATGGGATGGGTTAAATGCAGAGGTTATTCTATCTA